CCCAGTGCTTCCAAGACTTTGGTAATAGCCTTTTACCTAAACAACAAAGCTGCCAAAGAACCACCTAATATCACCTTTTGCAATCAATAGATTCAAAATGAGCCCTATCTGAAATACTTGTTTGTGACTTTGGGCAGAAGCCTGACTTGTAAAGATCATCTGGAAAAGACATGCAAAAAGATAAAAATAAAGTCTAGCCGAATTGGAAACTCACAGGGATAACAGGGGGTGCATATGCGCACACACTTCGAACAGTGATTTGAGCAATGGTATACTCAGCCACTGAATATCGCACAGCAGTCTGGGTAGGCAGCTCACATACCAAATCTCTGGACGTGCAGCTCAATACTAGAAAGAGAATTATAACTGGAACATTATAATCATCACCCATCCAATGATTGCCCACTCTGGTACATATTCCCCCACCCAAAATCCAGAGGGACACACAGAGAAACATGAGTACAATCAAACAATGACCAACCTGAACTTACCAAATTAATTAGGATCTCCAGAACCTTCCAAAGCCTTTTTCGGGTCGACAAATGTCGTTAAAGCATCTTAATTCAATCCTGAAGCACAGTGGAAAGAATTCTGGGATAATGCTAATGTCCCAAACAAACACCTGATTGCTTATGCCACAAAAAGAACTTCCAGGCTTCAATCTACCCCGGAAATAATGATCTGCACTGAATCTTTTCAGAACATCACATGGCAGATGCTGTCATTTCTTGCACTTCTGGAAGATGAGACACAATTATCTGTGTACCACAATTATGCTTTATACTGCACACAGTACAGAAGTCAGAGGGAAATACAGACATTATTGCTATTGATTTCAATACTATGAAACCTCTAGATTGCTTCCCCTTTATTTTTGGCAAAATAATCATTCTTGCAAACTCTATTTTACTACAAAATGCTACCTGTATATACCGTGGGCTACAGTTCCTATATATTTTACTCCACATATTGAAGTAAATCTAAAAATCAGTTCTGGAGAAAACGGATTTTTTTATTGTGCTTCACTGTTTTTCCAACAAACATATAATAGTTTTTATGCCAAATCCAGTTCACCTTATTCACATGGAATTCTGCATTCCACTCAGAATATTCGTGACAAATTGTGTGTGTATCTTCTCTGCCTGGTAGTTTTGTTAATTCTGTGTGATAGAGTATCTAATTAAAATGTATATATAAAATTATAGCAGATTGGGAATAACAGGATTCCTCAAATTGTCTGCAGAAGTGAATATTCATCTCACAAGGAAAATAAAAACCTCCCCCCTTTAGAGAGTCTCGCCACGTTTGAAACAAATTATATGGAATGTATAATAACTCCTCTATACTTAGATGAAAAATGTTCAAAGCTTTCAAAAGTCTGGGTTTATTTATGTAGAAACTATTAAGGTCTACACCTTGTCTTGAGAGATAAGAGAAATAAATAAATATGCTTGATTAAATATCCTGAATATTAATATTATGTAACTGAGAGATAACATTTATCATAGCAAATGTACATAACCCACCAATACCCTCTACTTTTTTAGTATCCCAATGAATTTGGATGTATTATGTATCTAAGGCAAGATACATACTTTTTAAAAAATTTACAGATAAATATACATATGTACACAACATACGGCAACAACACTGAGACGGATGATATGGAATCTGCCAAAAAATTGCTATAGAGTAGAATTAATGTTAAGAATAATTAAAGAAATATCCTCCATCTTTCTAAGGTCCTGGTTCAGGAAAGCAGTACTTCAGGACATCACGTATGCATGTGCTTAAGTCCTATTGAAGTCAAATTAACCACGTGCTTCAGTTCTCTCCTGAACTGGGACCTAAGGGTAAAAATTTCAAAAATGTCTAAGGCTATGTCTACACTGCTATGTTAGCCTAGGGTTTGAACTCAGGCTCAAGCCTAACTCCTCTTCAGTCTAAACACAAATCGTGCTAACCAAAGACTTGGACCCAGGGTCACAGGACCCCACAGAGGTGGAGGGTCTGAGCCTGAGTCAAGCTAGGACCCAGGGTTCAAGCCCTGTTGCTTTGCAGTGTAGTTGCAGCCCCACTGAAACTGTGCTCTGGGAGTCCACCAAAAGCATCTCACAGTCTGACTTTCTTTGCCCTCTAGAGAGTTAACTTTGGGAACTGTTAAATTTTCCCACACAGCATCATGAACAAAGGGCTAGAGTAGCCACATTTTGGGAAGGTGCTAGGAAGTCTGGGATATGGATGATTGGACTCAGGCCCTCACAATGCAGGGCCCCAGGTTGGGTTCTAGGGTTCAACAATCCCTAACCTGGGGTTATAAAGGAGTGTAGACACTCAAGCCCTAGGTTGACAAACCCAGGGTCTGCTAATGCAAATTTTACTAACCCAGGGCTTATGGGTGCAGCATAGACATACCCTTAGTGCAGGGGTGGGCAAACTTTTTGGGTTGAGGGCCACATCTGGGTGGGGAAATTGTATGCAGGGCCAGGGCAGGGGGTTGGGGTGCATGAGGGGGTATGGTATGCAGGAAGGAGCTCAGAGCAAGGGATTGGGGCAGAGGAGGGGTGCGGTGTGTATGAGGGGGGCTCAGGGAAGGGCGTTGGGGTGCAGCAGGGGTGCGGCATGCAAAAGGGGGCTCAGGGCAGGAGGTTGGGGTGCAGGAGGGGTACGAGTTGCAGGCAGGGGCTTAGGGCAGGGAGTTGGGGGGCGGGGTGCAGGAGGGGTTCGGGCTCTGGGATGGCAGTGGCGCGCACCGGAGCCAGGGCAGACTCCCTGCATGCCTGCCTTGTCCCCGGCCCCGCGCCGCTCCAGGTAGCGCTGCGGTCCCTGGGGGAGGAGAGGGAGGAGGGCTCCGCGTGCACTGCCCTTGCCACGCCTCCAGGTACCTCCCCCGAAGCTCCCATTGGCCACAGTTCCCTGTTCCCAGCCAATGGGGGCTGTGGGGGGCGGTGCCTGGAGGCATGGGCAATGCGGAGCCCTCTGCCCCCCCGCCTGGGGGCCGCAGGGAAATGGTGCCAGCTGCTTCTGCAGAGTGGTGCGGGGCCCGCGGCACCACAGGGGGCAATCCCATAGGCCGGATCCAAAGGCTTGAGCAGGGCTGCCCACAGGATTCAGGGGGCCTGGGGCAAAGCAATTTCGGGGGCCCCTTCCATAAAAAATAAGTTGCAGTACTATAGAATACTATATTCTCGTGGGGACCCCTGTGGGGCCCAGGGCCTGGGGCAAATTGCCCCACTTGCCCCCGCCGCCCCAGGCGGCCCTGGCCCTGAGGGGCCAGATCTGGCCCACGGGCCATAGTTTGCCCACCCCTGCCTTAGTGACTTTGGGTATTTCTACACTGCAATAAAACACCCATGGCTGGCCTGTATCAGCTAAGTTGGAAGCCCCAGTGGAACTCAGTGGGACTCACACTTGAAAGTCACAAGGTGCTTTTGAAAAAGTCATGCTAAGTGTCTGACAGGAGACTGGTTTCAAAGTCAACAGCTTTTGTTACGATTTCCACCCAGAGGGGGTGGGAGGTGCATGCAAGCCCTGCAAAGAAGGATCTCTGTCACTTTGAAACATATTCTGTTGCTTATTAAAACTCTCACAAAGCAGCAAGAATACATACATCACCTTGTGACTTAATGCTCTTGAAGCTGATGAGTAAATGAAGGACTATTTTATAGTTAACTGTTGCTTCAAACAGTTTTTTCTTTTAATGAAGGAAACGTAGAGGCCACTGACTCGCCACAAGGTCACAAGGTTAACTCTTCTCAGCTGAAAAAGATTTGCTGTATTCTTCCTTCCATTGCCTGGGGTTCAGCTTTGCCCTGAAAATGGGCTACTGTATACTAGTTATAGTTTTGTAAGTGCTAACCCAGTGGAACAGTAACAACACGGGTAGTTTTACAAGCAATATTGAAACTAGAGCATTATTACCTTTTTAATTTTAAACCCATGTTTGTTTCCAGGTAATAAAGATGTGGCAAAGGGAGATAGATGGTTGGAGGCACTAGACATGCTTTCTGCCCTCGTCATGATACACTGGATTAGATGAACATTGTAAAAAACAGAATGGTAAATCAGTATTTTTTTTACTGAAGGAGTGAGACTCTCCCTCCTGTTCAAGAAAAATACATTTGAGTTTGAAAAAAAGGAACGGAAATAATGATTCCAGTGTAATAAGATGCATGCAAAATATGATGGTAACTGTGGGTATCAAAAAGGGGAGATTGCCTTTTAAATGAAAGGCAAAAAGGACCCAGGGTTACCAACCCTCCAGGACTGTCCTGGAGTATCCAGGAATTAAAGATTCATTTTTAATTAAAGATTATGTCATGTGATGAAACCTCCAGGAATATGTCCTACCAAAATTGGCAACCCTAAAATGGCTCCAAGTAGATTCCGTTTCTATGGCCAAAAATATCCTTTTGCAACCACTGCTTTTGCATGTGTAAATCAGGCGTGTTACTCTCCAATCTGCACATGCAAATGCAAGGGATGTGCCCACAAATGGTTGCTTGTGCAGAATCAGAGGCCATGTTTTTGCAAACTTGGCCCTGTATGTCTTCTTTTCAAAGCCACGCTGATTCATTGTCATGTCTTGGACCTGCAAGAGCATGGAAAAGGGACGAAAGTCAACATGCTGCACTCACAACCCCAGCAGAGTGCTTACTTCTATCCCCAGCAGGAGATCTGCCCACTTAGCCCTGGTGGAGTGGAGGGCTCTGGAGATGCCAGCTGCTGGAAAGTGCAGAACTCTTCTTGCCCAGATCCTTGGAGGATTGCTGTTCCCCCACTTTCTGCAGTCCCAACAGCACTGATATCTATGCACACTACCTCTTACTGAGAGGGGAGCTCATCCTCTCCCCTTGCAGAAAGACCAGCAGGCTCAGTTGCGACATTGTAGCTAGTGGTTGTGGGCACACCAAGGCTCTGCCCCGCCCTGCCCCTGAGCTGAGCTTCTTCAAGTTCTGGCTGCACATGGTGCTTTAGGTGCCTGCCTGGCTGGGGGTGCCATGGAGCCCGAGGCGGCAGTGATGGCGGAGAAGGCAGCTCTGCGCACCCCCAAGTGCTCCCGCTGCCGGAACCATGGCTTTGTGGTGCCAGTGAAGGGCCATACGGGTCACTGCCGCTGGAAGCTCTGCCCCTGCGACAAGTGTGCGCTCATCACAGAGCGCCAGAAGATCATGGCGGCTCAGAAGGCGATGCAGGGGCAGGACCCGGATGGCCCACCCAGGGAGACATCTCCGCCTGCGGCCTGCACCCCGGTTCATGGTAAAGGTCGGAAGGTTCCTGCAGTTGGCCCCAACGCCTCTGAACACAGCAGCCACGTGGCCGGGTGTGAAGGAGCCAAGACCGCCCCAGCAGCCAGCAGCAGCAACAGAACCAGGACCCGCCGGGCACTACCTGCTCCCAGCTCCCCGCTCTTTGGGGACTTCGGTAGGGACCAGCTCAGCATTGGGGTGTCTGTTCCATAGGCCTCCACTCAAGATGATGAACTACCTCTGTATCCATCTGTCTGTCTGTGTCCATCATTCAGTGTCTGTCCATCTATCAGTGGGTACTGTTGGGTCAGTGTCTGTCCATCCATCTTCCATGCCTGTCTAGTGCCTCAGAAATATTTAGGGCCCAGGTGACCTGTTCCCCAGGGCTGTTGAAGCTGCTCTCACTCGATTTCCCCGTTCTGGGGACATGTTTTCAGGCGCGGTGTGTTTTGTATGCAGTGCTGCATTTATTGTTGGTTTTGCAAAGTTTCCAAGCTGCGCGCATGGACTTTGTAGCCATCGGAGCCACCCTAGGCAGCTCCTCAGCTTGTTTCCTTGTTGCAAAGATGGATTCATGCTACTAGTCCTTGTTTAAGAGGGAAATGAGTCTGTGACGGGACCCTGATTATTCCGAACAGCACCTTGAGCACTTTCTTCTGAGCTGTGGTGTTATTTTTACATTTACAGACATGCCCTCCAGCAAAAGCAAAAGAAAAAACCCCACAGAAAAACAGCAAGTACAGAGAAATTGGGGAGTTCCTGCTGGAGTTGCCTAGAGCAGGCTTTTTATGGTGGCAACATAAAAAAAAGAGAAGGAAAGCCCCTGAGCTAGATTTATGTAGCTCAGACTAGATTTGACTGGAATCAGTTGGTGTAAAAGTTTATTTTGTGTTTAAGAACAGAAAATTCCTATGGTCATTTAGTCCATCACTTCTGACATTGTTCTCTACACAGTAGAGTCTGTAGGGTGTGCCTTGTCTAGTCCATCATTATTATTTATTAAGACTCCCACTGACCACAGTAGTCATTAGACTGGGCCTCTGGAGAGCTAACAATCCAGAAGACAACACAAGAAAGACCAGATGCTCTGGGAGATGGGGAGGAAGGAATCGCTTTAGATAGTTCCAGCCCTGCCTCATCTACCAATGACTATTTAATTTTTATGCTTATGAGCCTCACAAGAAAAGTGGACTTTAAGGAGGGATCTGAATGGATGAGGCCTTGAGACACAGATATAGTCTAGTCATAGATGATGGGGATTCCACTACTTTGGAAGATCACTTTGTGAACAAGATTTTTTTTAATAGCAAAATACATTGGTTCTTTGAAAATTAACTCTGTAGAAATGAGAGAGACCAGGTGGGTGAGGTCAATATCTTTTATTGGACTGCCTTCTGTTGGTGGAACTTCAAGCTTCATGGCTCTGCAGGTGACCTGAAATCCAGGAAAAGCTCTGTGAAGCTCAAAAACTTGTCCCTTCCACCAACAGAAGTTGGTCCAATAAAAAGATAATTACCTCACCTACCTTGTCTTTCTCATATCCTGGGACCAACATGGCTACAACACTGCAAACAACTCTATAGAAATTACAGCTATCACAGGGTACAGAGCTCTTTATTCCCTCTCATTGATGTCAGTATTAAATTTTACTTGATTTACAAGTGTAAAAGGTGATTATTTTCTAACTGTTGCCACAGGAAACCAGAAATCAAGCTGTTTGTCATACCTGTTATGGCAGCAGAAGTATTAGAGATTCTACAATCAGTAGTTTGCTGACAACTTGGTTTAGGATGCACAAGGCAGACTTTGCTCTCCCAAAGCTGTATTAACCTGTCTTCCATCACTGTTGAGCTCCCTTCTTTCCTCCCCAAACCTAAATTTTTCTAATAGTAATAATAAAAAAGAAATTGAATAAGAAGTGAAGGTAAAACCAAAGGGCCAGATTCTGCCTTCAGTTACACTGCCTGAGGACAGAATTTGGCACTATGACTCTCTATTTCTATTTACCTTCAAACTGTTTGCAGTGATATTTTTGCTTGCTTGTTTTTATTTTTCCTCGCTGCTTGTTTCATAGCCCGTCCTGCTTTGCCTCAAGAATGTGTTGTCAGCCCGGAATACCTGGAGAGAGAACCTCCCAAACTGTATCCCGGGTACTCTGGTATGTACTCATACCACCCATTCCCCATGGGCTTTGCCATCAATCAGCCAAGCTGCAGGGGAGCTCCAGGGATCCCCCTTCAAAGAGGTTTCAGACATGTCCCTAGCAACCATGGACCAGGGAGTGCTGCTCCTCTGTCAGTAAGTAGTGGTTTCTTTTAATTGCTGCTGAATACGTTGCTCTTTGTATTGTAGGATGCAGTCTTGCCTTTAGAGTAGCCATGAAAAGTTAGCCTGGACACTAATTACTTCAGTGGAATCTTGATACATAAACTGATCAAACCAGGAACAAATAATAATGTTAGAGGTCTGACAGGAACCTAGAAAAATCAAAAGGGTTCAAAGTTGTGGGCCAGATTCTGCAAGCCCCCTGTGCTCACAGCTTTTGTTGACTTCAGTGGCATTTCTGTGTGCAGAGACCTTGAAGGATAAGGATTCGGAGGGAAAATTAACCACTAAAATGTGACCAGTTTGTGTCAGCATAGCTATCACAAAATGTCTCCTAGGTTCCCCAGTGAAATCCTCTTAGTATAGCAGGGCTCGCCCCCCAGGACAACAGGCTGCACGGTAGAAGTTTTGGCCCAGGAAAGATTCAGAGTGGGGCAGATCAGGAGCTGGCCAGAATGGGGAGGGGGCAGATCTGGTGTGGGAGAAGGCAGTACTACTACACTGTGATTATAGGCAGCGACTTCCTCAGTTCCCAGGGTGGGGTGTGTGTGCTTGACCCCTGCTCCGCCCCAGACCCCACCCTCCCAATCCACCCCTTCCCCACCTCCATCCTGCCCCCGCCCCGCCTCCTCCCCCACCTCTTCCTGCCCTTAGTCCTCTCCCTCCTGCACACTGCTGAACAGCTGCGTGCAGCTGCCGGCAGGCGGGAGGCACGGGGAGGGAGGAGAAGGCACTGATCTGTGGGGCTGCCGGTGGACGCTGAGCACCCACAATTTTTCGTGGGTGCTCCAGCCCCGGAGCACCCATGAAGTCGGTGCCTATGACTGTGATTCCCATCTGCTGCAAGCCCCCTGGGGCTATGACAGGCAGGAGCAATTTAGGGGACCTCTATAGTTGCCCTAGCCTGTGTCAGCCTCTAGCATCAGCAAACTAGGAGCAGCAAGAATAACTTCTCTTCTGCCACTGCATCAGACAGGGATGAATCTGACCCTAAAATTGTAGATCCATGTTTAAATGTTCCTATCACCGTATGTATAGTATCTCAGGTCATCGTAGCAAAAACCTGCCCACTGAGACACGGCCAAGCAGCCTTTTTGGTTGTTGTTGTTTTTTAAAATAAAAATATTTTAACAATTATCAGAAATGGGCTTGGCAAATTTTTTAAAAAAATCAGTTAAACCAGTGTTTTGTTTGGATTTAAATAAACTCAGTCCCCCTGCATGTTTGCAAGCCAAATATGAAGCAGTGTGCTAGAGTGTGGGAATCAGAAAGTGGCACTGACAAGAAACATGAAAAGTGAAACGGACTAATCGATTTAGGTTCTCCAAAATGAGAGAATTACAAAAAAAAATAAAAATAAAAAAAAAATCTATAGCATAAATGGTGAAAAATATATGGATTTTCCCACCAATCTAAAATAGTTATGTATTGTTAATCACACAGGTAAGAATACTACTAATAATATATTTATACTTATAGTGCTTTTCATTAATAGAGCTCAAAGTGCTTTACAAAGGCTATCACTATTATTATCAATAGCTTTTCACAAATACCAGTATATGCTAAAAAGCCTGTATTTTCATATTTTTCTGTTTTTGTGTGTGTATCTTTTGTATCTTTCTTTTGGAGAGGAAGGAAATCTCTCTGGCTCCCCTTCATTTTTCTCCACCAAATCCTTCAAAGAGGGTTTAACTTGATTCCCAGCAGAGCCTATGAATCTTGCTTCTGTGTGAGACTGAGGGGTTGCTTTGAGAGCAACAGTGTGTGTGAAAACTCTGCCAAGCAGTTATGGCACAGTAGAGGGAAACGTGATGCTAAATAGTGAGCCTTCTGCTCTTCTCTCTGCTGCTCTGGAAGGTGGGAGTAGAGGCCAGGTTAAAAAAAAATCAGCAGAAAATTTCAACAAAAATGGGAAGAAATTAGCTTTTGTCTAATTTCATAACAGACAACTTTGATTTTTGGCAAAAATTCAAAAACAAATTTCAATCAAAAACTGAAATACTTTGATTCAGAAATGCTGTTGTGGTGTCTCATGGGATTTGTATTTCATAATCCCATTTTCATCTATAGGCTAGGCTCCCTGGTTGGACAACCTCTCTCACAATGAGCAGGGTCTCCCCTGTAGGGGGATACACTACCTCGGTGCATCATGGGAGGTGTAGTCCCAAGGAACTCTGCCCTTAGAGAATGGGGACATGGGAATTGTAGCACATTTGCTTCTGAAGTGCTACAGCAGCATATGTAATTAAAATATTTCTGGTTCGGGGCATTTGGTTTCTCAACAAAAATTGACATTTTTTGCAGAAAGTAGACACTTTACCTGAAAAACTGTGTTCAACTGAAGATTTAATTTTCCATCAAAAACCGTTTCAACAGAACAGAAGGTCAGAGGTCATCTGGAGGGGGAAGTTAGTGAGGAATGGGTCAGTGGGGAAAGGAATCTGGGGAGTCTCAGAGAGCCCAGGTTGCAACCTGAATGTCTACACAGCAATTAAACAGCCCCATAACCTGAGCCCGAGCCCCATGAACCTGAGTCAGCTGACATGAGCCAGTCACAGGTGTTTAATTGTAACACAGACATACCTTCAGTCCTTGTCCTCAAAGGAAACCTGCACAGTACCGTCAAAAGATGAGCCTGGGAGCTTAAATTCATAACTTTGCTAGACACTTAAGCCATGTCTACACTACAGAGCGTACAGCAGCACAGCTATACCAATGCAGGTGGTGCCACTGTAAGATCTCATGTAGCCGCTCTATGCCGACAGGCGAGAGCTCTCCCATCGGCATAATTAAACTACCCCCAATGAGCGACGGTAGCTATGATAGTAGGAAAAGATCTCCTGCCGACATAGTGCTATGCACACTACTACATAATTATGTCGCTCAGGGGGGTGGAATATTCACATCCCCAAGCGACATATAAATACCTACTTCCGTGTTATTGTGTCAGTCTCCAGCCATTGCTAACAGATGCTCACTTTTATGAGGACTTCAAAACAAAACAAAACAGGAAACAACTGAGCTGTGGATTAAAAGTGGCTCCCGCATGTACACAGTAATGACTGACTTTTCATAAAGTTTCATACGACTCATTTGGCATTAAGAATCCCTAATACAAACCAGGAAATAAGTCACCAACAGCTGCCGGTTTTTAGTTATGGATCCATATTAAGTGAGTCATACGAAGCCTCATGAAAAAGTGATTCATCACTGCTTATGTGAAGGACCCACTTTTAATCCACAGCTCAGTTTTGGGACTTTACCTAAATTGCAAATGCTCATGAATCTGGCAGCACTGGTGGAGCCAAGGTTAGTAATGCCTGGAAATATGGATTTTAATTCGGTGTCTCATTAATAACAAGCACTTCCTGCATTTGTTGTGTTCTATGCTGCAGGTGTGTTTGGGCCAAATCATTATTAAATCTTTACTCAGACATTCATATTCCATTGCTGGTGTAAAATTTATATTAGACAGGTAGGCTGCCTTCAGTGAAGTTTTGCCCGAGTAAGAATTTTGTGATTTCCTGTTTAGCAGGGTTTTAACAATAGAAAAATTAACAGAAAAATATTGACCAGTGAAGTAAAGCATGGCCTTTCATTTTAACACAGCATATGTAATGCCACTGATTTCACTACATTTAGTGTGGAAGTGAGGATGGTGGTTGATCGGGTGGTTAAGATAATATCTGGACTGACAGAGCTTTATTTTATGTGTTCGTGCAGATGCAAGATGCAGGTGGAGATTTCCAACAAGGTTACTACCCTACGCTTCCTCAGTTTATACCTCCGGGCTTTCTGCCAGGGATTCATTACATTCCACCACCCCTTCCACTTCTGGCTGAAACACCCAAGGAAGCATCTGGTAAGTAAATGCGAGGTGAGTGATATTATGCATGAAACATATTAGATCTCAGGGAGCTGTTTTATATGGTAAAATGTATGATATGTCCTGCTCATTGGTATGTAAAATACAACAAAAGCTTTCAACTAATTTGTTTTCACTTTGGTTGGTAAATTCTGTACATTTGTATCTTCCTTAAAAACTGTATCATGGCCCTCTAAAATCAACAGGAATTTTGTGCCTGGAAGGAGAGCAGAATTTTACCTTTATTATCTGTAATAAAACCTCTCAAATGGCTCTAATTTTCATCCCAAAGTTGCATACATTCCACCCAAATTCAGTGGCCTCTCACTGTTGGTAGTTGAAAATGATGTACATCAGTAATATTCATTTCTTCAGAAACTGAGGTCACAGAAAATTGTGCACACCAAAGGGCTATATCCCACAGCTATTTACATTTTCTGCTTGAATAATTTTTTATGTTCCTCAGTTTGGGTCTTTGTCACATGCTGGTCCCACATTTGGGGCTTGGCAGGTATGTCTGTAATGATTTTTTAAAAATTTGGACAAGTTTTCTATTCAAATACAGCCATTTGTGGCCACAAGAGGGAAGAACTGCTCAAAGAATAAATCACCAGTACCAATAGAATGAAGCCCCTGGGTTATGCCAAGCTCTAGTTCAAAATATTTGTATGTGTACTTCTGTATTTCTATGCTTGGCTTATTAGGGAAAAATGAGAATCTGATTAAATGCCATGGTCTTGTGACAGAGAATGTGTCAAATAATTTCCCAATAGGTGAAAGAACGGGGTAAGTCCAGCATCTCTTGAGTAGGGGTGGGGAATAAATAGAAGAGTCATCTTCATTTCATCAAATAATAGTGATTGTGGCTAGTCATAGTATTTGGGACAGTTGAGAGTTTGTGAGGATTTTTACTGTAATCATCAACATTATTTCATTTGAATCAGTCATTAGAGACAGAGATGGACCCAGGGAGCGAAGTTTGGTTTCAAACTTTTCCTGGGTTTGGGGATATTTGTTGGATTAGAAGTTCTGGCTCAGGCCAGTTTCAGGGATAGCCTAAGCCGTAAAGGTCAGCTCTTGAATCAAACTTTCCTAAAGTTCCAGGATACTAGGAGGCTGGATTGGGAGTTCTAGTTCAGAATCAGGGTTCAATTTCGAGTTCTGGTCCATTGCTAGTTAGAAGCCAGCCTGAATAGTTAGAAATTCTGCACTCAGGTACCTGCCTGGAGCTCACATTGAAATCAGTGAGACACACCAACATGTACCTGACATTAGAATTTGATTCTAAGTGCAGGACTTACTGGTATTGATATTAAAGGGCTAGTGTCCTCATTTAGCACTTTTTTTGTGGTTTTTCTTTCAGAGTGAGGGATACAGGGAAAATTGACTCGGCCATATTGTACTTCAGCTTCCGGGGAGTAGGAATATCAATGGTGAATCAGTGAGGGATTATTTCTGTAGGAGGTTACAAAATAGCATTTCAGCAGAAGATACAGAAGTAATGAGAGGAGCTACAGTGAAACTAAACAGTGTTTGATTCCATTTTTCAAGGTGCATTTTGTTCTTGTTTCAAATCCGGTGAAAGACTAATAGTGAAGAAAAAGTGAAAAACCCACTGAAAATCAGAGCAGACAGACCCATAGGGATCTTGTCAAGTTCAAACTTACTTTGTTAGATCATTTGTCCAAAGAGAGCTGCTGGACTCAGGTCAAACTGGGGCAGTCAAGGTGACAGGGGCTCGTTGTGTAGCCTTTGGCAAAGTAATTAGGAAAAAATTGATTTAGAAAAGTACAGCAGGAAAAAATATGACACCGAGCCTCTGGCCTGATGGGAATTCCAAGACAAAGGGAGCTACAAACATCATAGGAGAAAAGGCTTCTCCTAGGCTAACACAGTTGCTGGAAAGAGTCTTGAATCATAGGCCTTGCAGCTAAATGACCACGGTCTGTATTCATTCTCAGTCAGGTTTTATAATGGTAACTTGTAATATGTACCATGTTATTATAAAATTGAATATCTCAGTAATTCTTTTGACATAAGAGACACTACACTATAACTCTTGCTAACTTTCCCAGTTTACCCATCAATGCTCGTGCTGAGTAGTATCTGAGGGCAGAAGCTGTTACCAGGGTTTTTTTCTTTAAAGAACAGTGCTATGTTGGTGGGAGAGCCACTCATTGGGGGTGGATTAATTAAATCCGTGGAAGAGCTCTCTCCCTTCTGCTTAGAGCGGCTACACTCGAGTTTACAGCTGCGCGGCTGTAAGCTCTCTAGTGTAGCCATAGCCCAAGAAAGAATTGTGTTATGTAGGAAAAGGAGAGAGCTTTAAATACAAACTAGTAAGTAAATTAAGGATTGAGATTTCCTTCTGTTTTATGGTCTGTTTATGCAGTCAAGGCTTTTGCACCTTCAGAATTGAAAAAGTGGGCATGCGAGAAGGCTCATGGTCATTAAGGTTGTAAAATAGCTCACATTACAATCCTGTTTTCATATGCACTTAAATTCCTAAAATACTTGCCAAGAGGGAAATTAATGCCCTTTGCCATTTTAAAACAGTCTCGCTGCACTTCTTGAGACATGGCTGCAGCAAAATCAGCTGGTGTTTGAAATATGACGCTTGACCTAGACAGCCATAGTCCTCATGATCTCAAGTGCCTTTGACTTGTTTGAGGGAAAAACTGGTTTGGATTAACTAAAGTTATTTTATATTGAGCATTCACAGCTAAAAATTTTGAGTTCTATTGGATGTAATGTAAATTTCAGTGCAATTTCAAAAAGCACTACAGTGTTATATTCTGCTTTTGTGTTTTAGCTGGCACCACTGATAGCCGGGATTCTGGGGTGATTTGTGAATGCAGCCAGCCATCTCCTCAGGAAGAAACCAATGGAGACCATGCCACGTATTCTAAACATTAAATGTATGTACGTGTACTAGGGGACAGCTGCAGAGCATGCAGCACTCTCTCTCAGAGAGAATATCATTAGTTAATTTTGGGCTAGATTGACACTAGCCCTAATGCAGCCACACAGGGCAGAAGAGGGGAGTAAGCCCCCTACCTCACTTCACAGTTGCATTAGGGCTACTAGAAACACAGTTCTGGCTCCCTTGCAGTGTACAGCCCCAGGGCTGCCATTGCTCCACTGGCTCCTACCTTACCAACTGGCAAAGCTTTTCCAGGGCTACAGTAAATTATTCCCTTCTGGAGCAAGTGGAGATGAGGGGAGGAATTGTGACTTCAAGGTACAGTTCCTTCCCTGAGGCTTGCCTACACTATAGGTTATGTCAGTATTAACTTATGGCGCTCAGGGGTGTGAATAAGCCACTCCCCCGAGCAATGTAAATTATACCGATGTAAGTGCCAGTGTGGACAGCGCTATGTCGCAGGAGAACTTCTCCTGCCGACACAGCTTCTGCCGCTCACAGAGGTGGTTTTATTGTGCTGATGGGAGAGTTCCCTCCCATCAGCACAGAGCATCTTCACCAGACGCAGTGCAGCTGCGCTGCTATAGCGCTTCTAGTGGAGATTAGCTCTTAGTGACACCCCATGGTTGGGGGCTGAGCATAAAGGCTCAATCTAGCCCTTTTATGTTTAAGGCATTGTTCAAAAGTGTGTTGTTTGTAGGTCTGTTTGCTACCATGAAAAGCTAGTTCTGAATATTGTGGAACAGTTCAGTGATGGGATTTAGTGCCTGAAAATTAGGTGATGGCAAGAGGAAGGAAGGTTTTGGCAGCTGATACATGTAACAGAGTCAAGGCTTGATACACTGGAGTTCAGGTGGGCTTTGGAAGCTGGAAGCATAATAGGTTAGGGTCACTTGTCAGTGAAAGTAGTTTTGGGGAGAGTCTGATCTTCTATACTGGCATCCAGTGCCCCCTCATCACCGTCCAGATGAACGCCAGGCCCTGCTGCCTTTACAGGGCACATTCACTTTAAATTGTGAGCATCATAGGACATAGTTAAGTCTGGTCACTCAATCTCCAGGATTTTGTGTGCCCGAGACACCCTGTACATCCATGGAAACATGCTATGCTGGGAGCCCACACAGTGGAAGCTAGACACCAAATTTGATTTATGGGGTGTGTCTGGGTTGCCCGATATAAATGGATTGAAATTGCATGGTGAATTCCATAAAATGTGGAGAGATTACCTAGCCAACTGGTTATGAAGTAACTAGGGCAAAACACCAGTTTCAATAATAAATCAGCTAAACCACAACATATTATCATCTATGGACAATAATGTTTGAATAATAGTGAACGGAGTATTCTGATTTCTGTACTTTCTTAAGAAAATGTGTTTTGTAGTAAGTAGATCAGTTGTTAGTGTTTGAATTGATTTTGCACAATTAAACGTGATACATTAAAATGTCTGTTCTGTACTTAAGTTTTGAAGCTTGTATATTTATAAATAATTCCTCTAGGCAACTTTCAAACGTTCCAAAGAACAATTCTATATAACAAATCAGCCTACAATGCTATTTAGACTTGGAAATGTTGCTTCTGCAGTCTTTGAATGCTATTATAGAAGTGAAAAATAAGAAGGCAAGATAAACACTCCTCCATTTCTTCTGTTTGGTACATATGCTAACAATCTTTTGCTAAATGAGAGATTTAAAGAAACTCAATTCAACTGCAAAATCACTTTACTTTTAAAAAAATGTAGTAAACTAACAGTTCAAACGGTTTATAGCACTCATGGAAGGTGTTTGGGGAGCTACAAATGGAGATGGCAATTTAAAATAATGCTAAGAAGAAAAGGTAAAAACTGGTTTTCCTATAGTGAATAACTTGCTGTACTGTACAATATTGGCCAGATTTTCAAAAGATCTGAGTACCCAGCACCTCTCATGAAAAACAATGGGAACTGCTGCGTGCTGAGGACTTCTGAAAATCTGGACATTTCTTTTAAGCATCTACATGGGAGCTGAGCTCTTTTGAAAATCAGAACATCTGATTAAAATTGCCAATAATACCCATAAAGCAAGGTAATCTATAGTTTTTACATTAAGATTAAAGGCTATATTAGGGAGTGACAACATACCAACAGCATAGAATAAAGTTTTAAGCATTGTTACAAATATTTTTTGGAATTCACCCTCTCTGTTGTATTTCACTCTTTAAAACACTGAAGCAAATTGGACTGCAGCACATTTCATTCAATGACTGCAAAGCACTATCACTGGAGATTTACTGTGCGTACAACACTCGCTGTGGTACACTTGTCAAGGAGAAACTTTTGTCATGGCTGCCTATTCTTTTTTGCTTCATTTGGGTGGGGGAGATCACACAGAATGATTGCCCCTCGCCCCCTGTGGCACTATGGAACAGGTATAATGAGGTATTAATATGAGCAAACTCTTGTCTTTCAGAAACGTAGCACCATCCTGGCTTTTGAACTCCAAGCCTGGAAAAAAACACTTAGACCTGATCTAAATCACAATGAAGTCAGCTTGAATCATTCATTTGACTTCAGTAGACTTTGAATCAAGCCCTTAGCCAAATTTCCATTAGAAAAATCTAAAAATGAACTAAGCCAGTTATGTGACCAGCCAGCTTTCTGTAGACCAACAGCAAGTGTCCTGCTGACCATGATTTGGGAAGCTTTTGATTAGAGCTTCCTCCAGGTAGTCCAAGGAGAGAAGAATTTCCATTAATTTTTCCCAGTATCTGCTGTAGCTCATTCCAGGTCACAGCTATGCGGGCTGGACTGCTCAAAATGGCTCCTCACCAGACTCATAGTGACCTCATCACCAGACAGGAGGCTAGAGAAGAAAGGCAATAGAGACAGCCACAGTTGGAGAGAGAGTCAAGTGTATGGTAGATAAAAAAAATTCAAATAAAATAGGCCAAATTCTCCTGGCACTTAGTAGGGTGCTATTTCCATTTAAATCAATGGGGATTGCACCTATATATCTGCACATAAAATATTACCCACATTCTGGATATTAGCAATCTTGCCACATGGGGCTTGAACCTGCTTCTATTGAGTCCATGGGAGTTTAGCCAGGTATATCTGTGAGAGTGGTACTGTGCTCCTATTTATCTTTATTTTTATTCCCGTCCATTCATTCACAGTGAGGTTATTTGGTTGACAAGACTCTTTCATTCTAAACCACTAACTATATTGAGGTACTTAATTTTTGGAAAGCTTACCCTCTGGTGCTGACATTTCTCATGCTTAGTCTCATCCCAAAGGTGAACTATTTAATATACATATTTTATTTAGGAAACATTTGTACTTAATCCCACCAATTGCTTTTGTGTTATCTGAGCAAAAAACACTTAGTTTTTCACACTTTCAAGAAATGTATTCAGACGTTCCTTTGCACTCACTATTATACTAAAAATCAGAGTAAATTGGTAAGACATCCACAGTGAATGACTTTAGCTGACAATGGAGATTATCTTGAGTTATCATGGCATTAATTCAGCCTTCCATTTTACCCTCACCTGACCCTCTTTTAACGAAGGAAAGAAAAGCTCATTGTAATTGGTATTTTAACACAGTAGGTTTAAAAGGTTCCTCGCCAAATCACTGCAATTCCAAATTTAATGTAAACAAGGTTTCTCCTGATTCATTTTTAAAAATTAATCGACTGCTAGGGATAATGAAACCAGTTTCAGCAGGATGGAATAGTTTGGACTAGACAAATCGCTAGAAGGCCCTTCCAATCCAAATAATTCTATGATTTTTATTGGTTTATGTTGGAGCTTAAACTGCACAAATGCTGGTCAAGTTAACAGAACTTAAATTTTTTTAATGGTCATCTATGGCACAGCACCTGCAATCCTTCCGCATGCAAAGCTACCATGGACCACAGTGGGAATTGCGGGTATGAAACACACTTACAGGATCATTATGTTTATATGCATTTTTAGGGTCGAATCTTTCATTATGTGCACATTTATGTAGCTGCACTTCTAAAGATGTGGCTCTTAATATTTGACATGCTTCATTCTCTCCTACTAACCACTGTCATTCTGTAATAAATGAAATGCTAATGATTGTTTACGTACTGCAGGAGATAGGTTAAAATTACAGCCTTGATGCTTCAAACCATACTCACACAAGTAGTCCCATTGCTTTCTCTGGAACAACTTGTAAGAGTATAAAGGCAATTGATGTGAGTTTAAGCTATGCAAGACTAGGCTCCAAGTTTTGTACAAAGGTGTCTGTGACATTGTCCAAAAGCTCAGAATATCGTAAATTTGCCTCTGCATTTTCTGTAGGAGCTTTGGGGTAAGAAAAACAACCTAACCGTTTCCAAAAGGGGGAATAGTATTTGCATTCAGCAAGCATATGTAAAAATCATTTATCACTGTTTTAGTGCCATGTATTAATAGCAGAGTGCAAGATGTTAACATTTTGCAGTGTCAGTTTTGCTTCTGGACTAAGGCATGCTTTCATATGACAGTGCCTAGAATGGGGGAACATTAACTCTTTCCAATTTAAAGAAAAAATAGAATCAGAATGTAGGTTCTTCCTCTTCTTGGAATTAGATGCAGTCTATAGAAAGCCCAGGAAGAATATACCTGTTTTTTCCACATTAATAAGTAATTAATTTTGAACAGTAATCCAGCTAACTAGAGAACTATTTAATTGCCTATGAATGAAGTCAACAGTTTGCTGGAAAAAATTTTACCTTCCCTTTATAAAAACAATTTCAATGACAGAACTATTTATGATGTGAAAAATACCTACCTTGGAGCAGCGGAAACTTTAATTAAATCACGCTTCATAGGCAAATCTCTCTGGTTTTCCTATTTTTCAGAAAGTATTTTAACCACTGCCATGTTAGCATTAGTCACAGAGCTATGCCAGTGTTTAGCCTGACAAAATGTTTTGAGAGCAATCCAAACTTAAGGGAAGGCCTTGTGGAATCTATTCTTAAAATCAGAGCATCACTAAACATCT